GCCGGGTGCTCGGCCCTGCCGGGCGGAGACCGGGAGCCGGGGCGGGCACAGCCGCCCGTCACAGGCCCGGCCCCCCCGCCCCGGCTGCCTCTCCATCGCTGGGTTGAACGCCCCGAGGCGGGCGTGCGGCGGAAATCCGGCCCGGCGAGGCACAGCGGGGCTCGGAGCCGAACAGCCCTCGGTGGGAAAGCGGCTCTGGGACCCGGGAGCGCGGCTGAGGGTCCCGCTGTCCCGCCGGGCTGCAGCCGGCGGGGACGATGCTTTGCTAAAATAATGCCCTTGAATTTGTTTGTAGCGGGTTTTTTTTTAATGTATTTTAATGTATTTCTCACCCCCTTACGCCCCGACACAGTACCATATATGTGTGATTTTACAATTGAAATTAGAGCTGTGTTCTGCTCAACGCCTTATAAGCTCCATTGTATTTCTTGCTTAACTGCACCATAAACGTTTAAAGGGGGAAAAGACCTTTTGTAGCTGGAAGAGAACGGCAATACCAGACTTTGTTCTGCTTAATGGGTACAACCCACCCCTGCGATAAGTCTTTATTGTAAGTTTTATTTGCACTATCTTTAGTAATTGTAGAAAAAAAACATGCCCCATGAAGCCATAACCAACAAACCGACTCCAGGTCCTATCACAGGAGGCTGATTTCCCAATAATCCATACAAATTCTGTGGAATTGTCGGGAAGAGAGTTCTTCGGGACAATATTTAGATTCTCCATCACAATTTTATAGTACAGCAATACTTCTACTTTTTTTTTTTTTTTTTTTTTTTCCTCTCATCCCACAACCTTGGTTCTTTTAAAAACTTACTGTTTTGAGCAGGAAGAGCCATGAAATTCATAGAAAGCATGCTCAGAGACACCAAGAAGAAAATTAAGTAGTAATTATCCTGGTCATTCTGAACTTCGAAGCCATTGACACTAGAAATTAGGAAATTTTTCAGTATCTTCTCTGCATGTTTATTTTGTAAGTATTTTTATAGAACCAACAGAATTATCTTACTTCATCTGATCAAGCCCTCCAAATAGTTAAACATTTCTACTGTAAGTCAGTTTACAGCCATATTTCTTTTGGTTTTGGGTTTGGTTTTTTTTTTTGAGCAATAAGGCAGGTCATACATTTGTGGGGAATGCTTAAAATAAGAAAAAATAAATATGTGCCTTACCATGGGTATTAAATTTACCTTCCTTTTATCACTGCTGCATCATAGATGTCATGTGTTGGTTGAAATGAACACAATGTATACATACAAGAAATTTTCCAGTGTAGATAAACACCTTGAGTGCGTGTAGGTTTTTGTGTAAAGCAGATAATGTACTTATATTTCTAAGAAAGGGAATGCTGTGGAAGGTATTTCCTGGAATAAAAGTTCTACTTATCCACTACTTGTAAAGAGGCCAATGCAAAGTAAATTCTACAAGAACAAGCAGTTACAGAAATGGTTTAGAAAACATAATCAGTGAAGAGCTTTAGAAATCCCTGAGAAGAAGGCAGTTGTGTTAATTCTCCTGTGTTTTATGACCCTGTGCATGGATGTAATGGATTTGGTATGTGATAAGTCACCGTGCTCAGCTAAAGTTTTTCGTTTCATGGGGAATGATTGCACAGGACCAGCAGTACAAATCTCAGTGACATTCCTGAAATACTAACACAACCTACACTGTAGAATAGCGTCATTAGAACTAAAAAGTTTCTGTAATATAAAAATGCTGCACAGCCTTACACAGATAATGTATCTAAATACTCAGCAATCACCTTCCTTCTGAAATACTAACACTTACTGTTCAAATTTCAAATAGCAAAAGATTAGACAGTAGGGGAAATAGAATATGTATTTCTCCTCAATTCTTTATATTTTAACAAGTCATTTCCTGTTGCAATAAGTGCTTAAATACAGCACTAGGAAAAAGATGGAGTTATTATTTCTCACTGAAACAATTTATTATTTAGGCAACATGTCTGTTGATAAAAATTTAATGTTTCAAGTTATGAGAATGCAGAAGAACTAAAGAGCTTCCAGATGGATATTAATATCTGAAAATTGTATTATAAAATGTAAATTAAAAGTCACCAAACTGTAGCTTGCAATCAGTAATACTGATGATTATATCATTACTGTAATGTTAGAATACTGTTGCAATGCTAGCTTACTTGCCAAAATAACAAAAGGATATTTAACACTATTCTGTTTGCTCATTCTGTTCCAACTAGATCAAAGTAGCAGAGTGTTCATATGTTAGTAGCAAGTTACCCATAATCCAGCAAATGCCAGACGTCAACAAACCACTACAAACAGGAAATGGTTGGAAGAAACTTTAAATTCAGTTTATTTGCCTTTTCTCTTGGATTGTCCCACGCAGTACTGTAGAAAGAGCTACCAAGAACTAGAAAAGCAAGAGGACTCAAGTTCTGCCCCAGTAAATTTTAGAGTCTAAACCTGCAATGTTTTAAGTTGCTGTTCAGCAGCCTTGTGGTAGGTGGCAAACATGCCAAATTTCTCGGTTCTCACTTTTCTCAACTTTTAAAGCTTTTCAGGGTCCTGAAGTTTTTGCTTTTGGGCAAAAAAACTCCTTGGTTTTACCAATCATGAATTTCATTACCTAGCTAATCTTAGGCCAGTTCTAATGGTGTCTCTCTTCCTGAGTGGCTCTGTGTGACAGCTCTTCGAGCACGCCTCGAAGGGATGCAAAACAAAACCTCACTGCAGGTGCACCAGCTTTCTGCAGCAATTCCAACCATAAACACCTGCCAAAGATGGAGCACAGAGTGTTTGAATCCCACTGCTGTGTGGCTCTGGCTCCTTTTGTCCCAAATCCCCTCAGTGCTGCTCTATCCCAGCCAGCCCTGTGCCTGCTCCTATTTGTGATCACACATGACCAGGTTATTTATGGGGGGAAGAAACTTCTGATGAGGCTCTTGTGCTTTATTCAGTTGAAGTGAGGAAGGTGTTGTAGCCCAGTAAACAGGACAATACCTGGATGCCACATCCTAAGAGCTTTTTTCCCAACTTTTGCATTTGAGAAAATACGAAAAACCTGCATGACACAGCATTCTGTAGTGTTGCATCTAAACCCAGTAGTAGTTCCAGCTTTTATTTCAACATATTTGTCCCAGGGCCCTAATAATAACAAGAAAATTGCAAAAGATTGCCTGTTTATGTAATGTAAACCATGCTGATACCAGCAGTGGGTATCCTGGCCATACTCTCTCTTTTTTCCCCAGCAACACCAACTGACTTTATTTTATCTTGATAAAGATGGGAAGAAAAGCTCCAGCAAGGCCAAGAAATGTGCTGTATATTTAAAAATAGGTTCCAAGATATGTTTTCGCTTATGTGATGGAAAAGCAAAAGCCAATCACCTGAAAAAAAAGTTAAGGTTTTCACTCTTACTTAAATTAAGGAAAAAATTCCTTCTAGTTTCATTATGAATTTTGAATTTGTTGTTCTTTCCTTCAGCATGGTGCCACCCTAGCTGCATGCAGGCTTACAAATATTTTGACTTAATAGTTTCATATTTCTTCAAAAACCTTGTATTAGCAGTATTTAAACTAGTAATAACAACTAATACTAATAATTTCATGCAAGAGTAAGAAATGGCAGTAGAGTATTTCAAATACTTTTGACTCAAACAGATTTCCTTTTCTCTAAACACTGGTTCAGTGTTTGAATTTTCCATATTCATATTTCATAGAGGCAAAATAAAAGTGACTAAAGCATTTAACAAAAAAAGTTTATTACCAAAATACAATATTAAAGTCAATACGTGACAAACTCCTGTAAAGCAAAATAAATTATTCTACCATTGTACAGTATTCCAGAAGGTAGTTAAAGTAGTACTACAGACTTTGCTTCATCCTTCCAAAGAGTCGCCTATCAGGAACACAATCCTAGAGAGAGCTTAAGGCATGCAGCTTAATGTGCTGGATAACTTTATAAAACAAAACTCATCCTATTTGATAAGATACAGTATCAGAATTAACTGCAGTCTTTACATGTCAGTTTTCTAAATTTCTTTATACTTTGGCTATAAAAGCAGTGCCATAGTGTTACAATACCTTTTCTTAAAAAAATACATGTACCCATGTCCATGAATATCAAATGCAAATGTAAATTTCTATTAAATATATCTTAACAAATGTTACTTTGAGCACCAACTGTACATTGCTTCAAATGATTAAATAAGTGCTTATGAAAGAGGAAAATACAATAACTCAGACTGAATCCCACTCTATTTTTCCAGGTCAAGCATTAATTGGGAAGATGAAATATGCACCCATTTTTCAGTACAGCCATGTATGAATGAAGTTTGCTCTTTAGTGGAAGTACAGGCATTGCAAACAAAGCTGCAAGTTACAGTTTGTATCACAGAATAAAATCTAATTTAAACAAACAGCATGTGAATAGCTGATTACCTGGTAGTGCTGTGACTGAAGAGACAAAAATAGTTTAAAAGCTTAAAGGGGAAATTTGCAGTGTTAGTGACTTTGAAATGTGCTTAAAACCCCTTACAAAACATGCAACCAAGCCAGCCATACACTTTCAAAAGCAGATAACCTGAGAAACAATTTGCTTTCAGAAAAACTAAGTCTATAATTATTTCACATGCAGGACTTCTGACAAGTCCCTGGGAATTATGAGTAGGTAACTAATTGCAAGCAGCATGGAGACAGCTAAAAAAAGTAAATCTCTGTGCATATGGGAAAGAATTCTTTGTTGGCATTTGTCAGGACTGATAATGGTTTCTAGAGGCAAGTAGCTTTCTGTTTTACAGGAACACATGGTCAAAAGGAACAAAGCAACAAGATGGCAAAGAACAACTGTGAACAGACACACATCCTGCTTAGGAATCCTGTGACACTGATTCCTGGTGCACTGCACAGAACGCTGCAAGTGTGGCTTCCACACACACCAGAGCTCTTCATTATAATCCAAGGTTATTGGCTTTTGAAATTTTGGTTCACTGCCATCTCCTTTTTAGCTTGTGAATGCAAGTTTTTCCTTCTTTATCTGTCATTAGCTGAGCAACTTTAACATAATTACACAAAAGTAACAGTGTGGTAAATATTATTTCTGTGAATACTGATTGGTAGTTTAGCATTACTAGGGATCTCAATGTCCTTTAATTTTTCCAACAAATAGGATTTCTGAGTGTGAAAGTTGAGATACATTCCAGATGATGTAGTATTTTCACATTAATTCTATACTGAAGGTAAAATAGCAGTGTCAGTAAGACAATATGAATATCCCATTAAAAGTTCATTATCTCCACTGGAATTTGGGATTATGTAAATAAATAGTTTTTCAAATGTAAAATCCATCTGTAGGAATATGAAAAATAACTATTAACTGTAACATACGTATTTAAAGTATCTCAAAAATTCAGCACAAAAAATGCTTTGACCTTATCTCCTGACTGATTCTTCAAGTCAAACGTGTACTTTCTGCTATCTAATTTATAAACAAAATAATACCTATTTAACCCAAAAGAAGAAGTGAAATTGAGGAAATCTCTTGAAAACAAATATCAAATATATTTCAAGTCATAGTGCTTTTACCCTGGCCTCTACATTTTGTGCTGCTTTACGAAGCTGTGACTTCTGTTACTGTTTTCTTCTCCTGGTTGCCACTTCCAGGCAGTGCTAGCACAATACAGACACTCCATGTGCCAGCCTCTCACATTTACAGCTGCAGCTGATTTCTGCTGCCAGAAGGGTGTAAATAAAGGAACCAGAAACCCCTGTTTTCCTAAGAGTAAGGAACTTTGCAAGTATTGAGCTACTAAAAATCAGGTCACCGCATGCCCGTGTCAGCACTAGGCAAACTGTTGTTCAGCTGCCATTCATTAAAAGCAGGAATACATGCCTGAACTAGGAAGTTTAAACCTGGGCGCCAAAGGGCTTCTTTGGAAGTGATACTACACTTAAAGAATCTTTCAAGAAATTAAGTGGCCAACTTGATAACCTCAACAAAGTTTCCAGGTAATGAGCCAGTATAATAATATTCCACACTTATGTACAGGTGAGTATCTTCTACTGCCAACTGCTGTAACTGTAAAAGCAACAAACAGAAAAACCCCCACACTGTAATTTTAGAAGCTGAGGTTTTTAAAAGGATGAGATTTCTATGTGTTTCTTAGACAAAGTAATCTCTAATTCCCTTTATCAATCCATATTACAGCCTGTAGTAAATTTATTCTGTAAGTGACTGGATAGAGTTTTGGTGTAGGACAGTTTGCCATTTCTTTTTTTAAATATGATTTTCTACAGGAAGATTATCTTTCAGCTCATTATTTCTACAGTTACAGCTCTGACAGACAAGTGGGAAATTTGGCCAGCCAGTGGCATTTCAAAGATTGCCAAAGAAAGTAGGTGTCTCTGAAAATCCCAATTTGTGCTCACCTACATCTTTTGGAATCTACAAAGATTTAATCTACATCACTTTGTGGCAATTACTGTTAATATCTTGTTCTCATCAAAATCATTGCTCATCCATACTGCAAAGTAATCACCACAAATGGAAAGTAACATTATAAGCTTCTCTTTTTTTAAATAATTCACCTGAATGTGTTAAAAAAACCATGAAGAAACAACAGGTTATTGTTATAAAAAATAATCTGTTACACACTGTGAGTTGAAAAGATAGAAGTTTTGTAGTTAGGATCCAATCAAACAAATAGTTATTAACAAAATGCTTCTAGGCCCTTCACCTCCTGCTGCTCTAAATCAATGGAAAGTATGGCAGTCTGCTGTAAAATGACTTGGAAGTTTGTAAAGCCTTAAAATAGACTGAGAAATGGAACTCCTGCGTGTGCATACAACACACACGTGTTCTGGCCCACCTCCCCTCTCCCCACCTTCCAGAAGCCAGGCAGGGGGGTTGACCAGATCATACTGTAACAGTTTTATCTAATCTGTTGCCAGATCATCTTTCAAAAAGAGGGTAAAAACCTTCTTTGCTGAATTACTCGGAAAACAACAAAGAGGGAGGAAGAAAAAAGCTTTTCAAGTGATTCAAAGCTTTCACACCTTTGGGTTTTAAAGTACTGTGCTAATCCATTATTACTGACTAGTACCTGACAGGAAAAGAAAAAAATCAACAATCCTACATTCTTGGCACCATATAAAGAAGTAACAGGTTAAAATGGATCATTCTATTCTCCACACCTTATATTTATCTCTTAAATGATTCATCGGTCCCTGGTTAAAACACTGTACTCCTACTGAAACAAGAACTCAGGATGTGAAATCAAGTTTTGCTTGCAATTCTTCTCTTTAGCAAGTTTCTCAGGCAAAAAATAACAAAGAAAATATTCACTCTAGGAAATGCTCTCTTAACTTACTGCTTCACCTAGTTTGTATTCTGAGCCGTGCTGTGGTCCTTGTTTAGAATGATGTTTATGATTTCACCCTCATGTTCTTTCATATGATCCAGCAGATTTTCTTTGTTGGTAGACTCAAAACCACAAATGCAGCAGCAGAAGAGAAGAACACAGTATTCTGTGCCAAGATGGGGTAGAGTGGAGTTCTTTTCTAAACTGCATGAGGTATTCATCAAGGTAGGTTTTTCATTTTCATCAGAACCTGAAATTTCATTTGTAGTCTGGTTAATTGGCTCTGTAAAAGACACCAAGTTGTCTGAACTTCCTAGTATAGGTACTGCACTTTCATCTGTGCCTTCTAATAAGGTTTTGTCAGTGAGCTGTCCTTGAAACCTGAAATAGTAATAAAAACCAAAACAAATATTAAAATACATAGCTGTTGCTTTTTGATAAGAACTTTATTTTGAGTCAGGGTGGGGTATTTGAAAGATAATAGGGCTTGACAGTAAATCAGACATACCTACTGCTTTGTGAAATTGCATCATTAATAGCCTTGTTCACTTGCTCATAGTTATAATTTTGGTCACTTGCATGTTTCCACATGTGGGACTTCAGGGATGGAGGATGGCTACATACATATCCACAGAGAGAACATCTGGGGGAAAAATGGAGAAGAAAAAAGAGAAACAATTAAAAGTTAAATTTTATTAGTCTAGTAATGGTTTAGTTCTTCCAAAAGGTTGAATAAGCAGAGAGATCCAGAGTGGACCTTCTTCTTAGTCCCCCTTTTCAGTTTCATAACTGGGTCATATTAGTTTGCAAAGCTTCATCCTGAAATGTAAGACTGTTTTTTTAGTGTCTGAGAACTTTTTAATCTATTTTTTTGTTTTTATTTTTGAACAATTGGACTGAAATCTTATCTGTTTGGCCTGATAAAACTGTTTAAACATTGCAGAAATGCAGTATTTCTGCTGAGTGCAGAAACATGGCATCTGGCAGGGAGCTCTCTCTGCCATTGCTCTGAACCAAGCAGGAACTGTGTAATTAGCACTAATTATGTCAACTGAACTAATGAAATCTTTCCCGGTATTAGTTTATTAAGGAGCACAGAGCTGTTGAAGTTGGAAGGGACCTCTTAAGATCACATAGTCCCATCCAGCCCCTCAAGCATGATCAATGGGTTGCTGAGTGTCAGATTCTGAATATATTCACAGATCAAGATTCAGACAGGTGATCATTTTTTCCACAGAATTTTCCACCAGCTCTGGGACCACAAGACAAAATTTTCTATTTCCCTGTAAAACACCATCTTCTGCAGTAAAGAACAAAACCCTGAAGAATAAATCCTATTTACAGGGAGATGCAGTGTATATTTATGGACAGAAATAACCCAAGACTGATCAAATGCTGTATAACCCTTTTCATGCAGGAATATACATCAGAGGAGGGTTTTTTAATGTGTTTTTTTAAGATGATAAATTAGTCACCTCAACATGAAGGAGATGAGTGGTACTGCATGACATCACTTCAGAGCAGGATGTCTTTTTGTCTTTTGGATAAAAAAGCTATTCTGCTCAGCTGCCTTCCACTTTGGAAGGCTTCAGTTCTCCAAATCCCATGGAAAAGATCAGAATCAATTGAAGGTGACCTTGTGCTAATAAATTATAACTAGGAATGCATCTCTGCATTCCCACGTGTTCCTGTGATGAGTCTGTTAAAATTACCACAGTGCAAGTCAGTTTTTGTAAATCTTTAAGACCTTTTCAGAAATGTAACCTGGAAACACAGGAATGCCTACATAAAACCATATTATACACTACAATTCAGTAAGGTTTTATGACTTTTCTTAATAACAGGAGGGTATAGTGCAAAAATGCCCTGAAAATAATCATACATAGGAAACTATTTCTGCTCAGCAGAAGATTGCAGAGAGCAGCAAAAATCCCCCAAGTTAGGTGAAAGCACAGTACATGACCTTGCTTATGCAGCAAGGTAATTTTGTCCTGCTGGGGAACAACAGGTGTGTCCTTCTAGTTCACTTTACTGATTTGGAATGTGGGGTCCTATTCATC